GAGGTCTCGCTGCCCATGCAGGTCTCGAACCCGCGGGCTCAGGCAATCCACTCACCTCAGCCTCCCAAAGGTGCGTGATTACAGGCTGAGCCACCGAGTCCGCTGATTTTTGACTTTTTAATGATAACTATTCTGACTTGTATGAGGTGGTATCAAACTGTAGTTTTGATTTGCATTTCTCTGATTATTAGTGAAGCTGAGCATTCTTGCAAATGTTTGTTGGTCGCTTGGATAGCTTCCTTTGCTCACTTTTTCATGGGATGTTTTTGGGTCCCCCCCCCACTGTTGATTTGTTTGAGTTCCTTGTAGATCCTGGATGTTAGGCCTTTGTTGGATGCATATCTTGCAAATATTTATTTCCCATTATGTGAGTCTCTTTACTCTCTTGATGGTTTCTTTTATTGTGAAAAAAAACTTTTTAGCTTGATAAGTTTCCACCTGCCAATCTTAGCTTTTGCTGCATTTGCTTTTGAGGACTTAGCCATGGATTCATTGCCTACTCCAACGTCCAGGAGGACGTTCGCTAAGTGTTCTTCTAAGATTCATATAGTTTGGGGTTTCACATTTAAGTCCTCGATCCATTTTGAGTTAATTTTTATATATGGTGATAAGTGAGGGTCTAGTTTCATTGTCTTGTGTGTGGTTATCCAGTTTTTCTAGCACCATTTGCTAAATATGGTCTCTTTTCCTCACTGATTATTTTGTTGGCTTTGTCAAAGACAAACTGGTTGACTGTATGTGATTTTATTTCTCAATTCTCTGTCCTATTCCATCAGTCTATATGCCTATTTTTGTACCAATATCATGCTGTCTTGGTTACTGCAGCCTTGTAGTAAAGTTTGAGGTCTGGAAGTATGATGCCTCCAGCATCGTTCTTTTTGCTGAGGAGTGCTTTAGCTAGTCAGGTTTGTTTGTTTGTTTGTTTGTTTTTAAATTCCATAGGAATTTCTGTATTTTTTTTCTGTGTCTGTGAAAAATGATGCTGGTAGTTTGATAGGGATTGTGTTGAATCCGTAGATTGCAATGGGTAGTATGAATATCTGGCAATATTGGTTCTTACAAACCATGAGCATGGGATGTTCCATTTGTTTGTGTCATCCTTGAATTCTTTGAGTAGTGTTTTGTAGTTCTCATTGCAAAGATCTTTCACTTCTTTGGATAGATGGATGCCAAGATATTTTATTTTGTGTGTGTGCATATGATGAATGGGTTTGTGTGTTTTATTTGGTTCTCAGACTGCTTGTTGTTAGCATATAGAAATGCAATGCTTTTTTTGCACATTGATTTTATTTTGTATCCTGAGACTTTCCCAAAGTCGTTTATCAGTATGAGGAGGTTTTTGACAGACCCTCTAGGCTTTTCTAGGTATGAAATTATATAATCTGCAAAGAGGGATAATTTAAATTTCTCTTTTCTATTTGGATACGCCTAATTTCCTTCTCCTGCCTGATTGTTCTGGCTAGGACTTATAGTACTATGTTAAATAGGAGAGGTGAGAGTGGGCATCTTTGTCTACTTTAATTCTTAGGGGAAATATTTTCAGCTTCTGCCTATTAAGCATGATGTTGGCTGTAGGTTTGTCACAGATGGTCCATATTATTTTGAGAATGTTCTTTCCAGGTCTTGGTGTTTGAGAGTTTTTATTAAGAATAGACGTTGGATTTTATCAAATGCTTTCAGCATCTGATAAGATAATCATGTGGTTCTTGGTTTTACATCTGTTTATGTAATGGATTATGTTTATTGATTTACATATGTTGAACCAGCCTTGCATCCTGAGAATGAAGCTCACCTGGTAATGATGGATGATCCTTGAAATGTACTGTTGGATGTGTTGAATAGAATCTTGCTGAGAATTTTTACACCTGTATTCATCAGAGAAATTGGCCTGATTTTTCTTTCCTTATTGGGTCTTTGCCATTTTGGAGCATCCAGATGATATTGACCGCATAGAATGAGCTAGGGAGACTTTCTTCTTTCTCGATTGCCTGAAATGTTTTCATTATGATTGGTGTCAGTTCTTCCTTGTATGTCTTGTAGAATTCAACTGAGAAACCATCTGGTTCAGGGCTTTTTTTGATGGGGATGTTTAATATTACTGAGTTGATTTACTGGATTGTTATTGGTCCGTATAGGTTTTCAACTTCTTCCCATTTCAGTCTTGAGAGATTATATAATGCCATTAATTCCTCCATTTCCTCTAGATTTTCTAGATGATTTGCACACAAGTGTTCACAGTAATCTTGGATAATCTATTGTATTTCTTCAGGGTTATTATGACATTGCCTTTTTTGTTTCTAATTGTGTTTGTTCAAATTTTCTCTCTCTCTCTCTTTTGGGGAGGGGTAATTTGGCCAGGGGTCTATCAATCTTATTTATCTTTCCAGAAAAACAACCAACTTTTCATCTCCTTAATCCTTTGTATGATTTTTTTTTGTCTTTATGTCCTTCAACTGTGATTTTGCTTTCATAATTTCTATTTCCTTACTGATTCTAGGATTGAATTGCTCTTGTCTTTCCAGCTACTTTAGGTGTGACATTAGACTGTTTACTTGTGATCCCTCTATATTTTTGACAGGTGCATGTGATCTTATAAACTTCTCTCAGCACTGTTTTTATAGTATCCCAAAAGTTTTGGTGTGCTGTGCTTTGTTTTCATTGTTTCTAGAAATTTTTGTTTTTTTTTTTTTTAGTTGGAGTCTCACTCTGTCACCCAGGTGGAGTGCAGTGGCACACTCACAGCCACCCCAGTGACGACCTGCTAGGTTGCGGCAATCCTTCCACCTCAGCCTTCCAAATGGCTGGAACTACAGGCACACGCTACCACACCCGGCTAATTTTTGACTTATTGTAGAGACAAGGTCTTGCCAAGTTGCCTAGGCTGACCTCGAACCACTCAGGCAATCCACTTGTCTCAGCCTCCCAAAGTGCTGAGATTACAGGCTGAGCCACCAAGCCTGGCCAAATTTTTTTATTTCAGCCTTGTTTTCTAAAGTGTTAACCCAAAAGTCATTCAGAAGCATATTGATTAATTTCCATGTATTTGTGTGTTTGGGGGGATCCTGTTGGTGATGATGTTTATTTTTATTCCACTATGGTCTGAGAAAATACTTGGTATGATTTTGGCCTTTTGAAATTTGTTCATGCTTGATTTATGTCTTAGTATGTGGTCGATCTTGAAGTATGTTTCATGTGCTGATAAGAAGAAAGTATATTCTGTGGTTGTTGGGTGAAATGTTCTGTAGATATCTGTTAGTCCAATTGGTTGAGTGTTGAGCTAAGCTTCCTGATTTACTATTAATTAATTAATTTCTGCCTCTATGATCTGTCTAAGGCTGTTAGCAGGGCATTAAAGTCTCCAACTATATTGTATAGCTGTCTATGTCTTCTCTTATTTTAATTGGCAATTGTTTTATAAATCTGGGTGCTCCTATGCTGGGTATGTATACATTCAGTATGAATATTTATTGCTGGTGGATTGAATCTGTTATCATTACATAAAGTCCTTTTTAGCTTTTGTTGGTTTAAAGTCTGTTTTGTCTGATATATGAGTAGCTACTCCTACTTTTGTTTTAGATTTGCCTGGAAGATCTTTCTCCAGTCCTTTACCTTGAGCCTGTGGGT